ACATCATATTATAGAGTTCTGACTGGAGATTTTTAATGTTTCACTCAATCTTGGCATGTTCTGCTTCCTATCCTTCATGCAGTTTATCATCTCTATTGTCATGATAACCTTCGTAGTAGAACAATTCAAGGTTTATGATGCCAAATACATATATTTTCTTAGTCTATTTACTGACACTTATATAATTGTATATGGAAGGATGCCTACACAACAAGCTGGAAAGTCATTATAGTAATCACGACCTGTTTTACGGTACCATTCACAATGCAGAACTGCAGAAAACTTTCAGAATATGAAGCATCAGTGCTAATGACTCAACCATAACCCTCTCTGGGATGACGGATGTAAACAAGAAATGCTCATGGACTACTTTTAATGAACTATCCCTGGATTTCTCTCAAGTAACCAACAAAAAGAATAACACTTTCCAGACTGGGGTTTAAATCCAGGACTTCCCAAATAAAAAGCAGTAATGCCAACCATGACACTGAATACTCAGTAGGAAGTGCAAAATACTTCACCCAACCCAAGCTGGAATCCATATTATGCCTAAATAAAATCTCTGTAGTCTGCAATCTCAGCATATCTAATTCATATTTAAATGTCCAAATACAGTTTTACTGGAGATTTTCAAGGTTTTCACCAACATCAACAGGGAACTGATTCATCTCCCATCAGATTATATTACCTTTTAAGCTCTGAAGCAAGACATAGCACTAAAAGTATAACTCCTCCGAAGTTACTGCTGCTTGACTGAGTGTTCAGTGCATTGGTAATGCTTCTTGTGGGTATTAATCTTGTGGTTACTATGCTGTCCATCTAAAACATCTCAGGGTACATCACAGCATGAGTAAGCAACCATAAGAAGGAATGTCCTACATGTTCAGTGAGATCTTGTATGGTGATTCTGGTCCCCACTAGACACTGAAAATCAAATCTAGTAGATTTTGTAGTCTACTCCATATCTGACAATGATGCATCATTAAAGATGTTTAAAAGCATTAATGCCAATGACGTATAAAAGTCTTCTGAGCAGTAATAGCAGATGAAGTATTCATCCCATTGTTTCCTCTGGAAATCATACATGGTAATGTAGCATCTCTGTTGATACCATCTTTACAAATTTTATCAACATAACAAAAACACATATATCAAGTGTGACATACAGCTAACTTAAGAAGAACCTTGATACCAAGACAGAGGCCCTAATGGTTGCACAAAGAAAGATAAGTAAACTGCAGGATTCTTGCCACTCACTGATGGTGAATTCACTTACATACATCAAGTAATTCCTGTAACTTATGAATAACTGTTACTTTTAATGTAACAAAACTTTTATCAATTATGATATGTTAATACAACAAATTATGCATATATTTTTACCATTATGTTCTGTTATTTGCCTCTGTGCTTGATGGGCACAAGATTGTGATAAAACATGCAGAAATGCAATGATGACCAGGGCAGAAAACAAACATACAAACTCGGTAAACAGCTAGTCATAAAGATCAATAATAATTCTGTTTGCTAGTTTCCTGATTTGTGAATTTATTTAAAGAAGTGTTGAAGGAGACATGACAGAATGGGAGGAGGCAGCTGTGTCTTATCTGAAGATACTAATGCAATATTTTTGTAGAGAAGTGAGAAAAGGTATGAACAACTGCAGTCAGGATGACTAGCTTCCTGGCAAACTGGATTCTTGTGCTCCATGAAAATGTGACTGATCACCATATTACAAGAGTGGAATGACTGAAACAGAACACTGCTATATAAATTCTTAACAAGGTAAACAGTACAGCACATTACATATTCACAAATATTTAAAAAATGGAAATAATGAAGACAGTCCTCAAAAAACAAACAAATTATGCAGAAAATTTCTTAACAAACAAACCTACCATTTCCTAAAGTATTGGCACAGTGCTAAATAATTAATATATACATTAGCTAGTATAAAACATACATTACATAAATATTTATGCATTTTTTAAGTTACCAATGAATCAGAAGCAGAAATTATTTAAACAAAACTTACTCAAACAATGTTCCCTTTATTAATATAACAACGATGGTAAGTTTAAAACAGATGCCTGAACAGAAAGGTATTCCTTGCTACAGTGCAAAATAATATACACATACAGGGTAAACTTGAAAGAAATGGCCATGCACCCCTTACTCTGAGGAGACACTGTTGCTTTTATGCTGCCAACTCAAAATACTATGACTAGGAAAGCTCAGTAATAGTCCAAAGGAGAGAAGACAGAGAAGAGCGGACAGTCTAAATCACTATTTTATATCTGTATATATAGTGACAATTTCCTGTTTCAACCCCATCCATGGTAAGCATAAGCCACACCAAATATGTGCAAGGCTCGCTGTTTTTCCAGCTTGAATGCAATCACATTCATATCTTTCTTCTGTGTTTAAAGCATGAGATACCCTAAGGAAGGGCAGGCAAGATGACAGAAAAACATGAGTAACATCGAAACAAACCTCAGATGGTATTTTGAATGTACTGGGAGGAAAAGAATTACACATAACATGAAGTCAAAACAGAGGCCAAAAACCAGTTAAAATGGAGAACTCTGTTCAGCGTCTGTATACATTGTTAGGCATAAAAGCAGCACATAAAAGAATAAAATATTCTGTTATTAAATTATACTTCCAAAGACCCATATATGATTTTAAATTTATAAACAACTCTGAAAAATAACACACTCCTACCAAGATAAATTAATTAGGTAACTTTTGCCAGTCCTGTTTATTTGGGTTTATAAATATATATTTGATCACAGGACACGTGCAAACTATACTTCAAGAGTGCTTGGAGGAGGAAACAAAAACATTTTAACATTTATATATGTTTATCAGACAAGCTATCAATTTTGTACTTTCTCTTCTAATTAAATATGGCCTAACACGACCTGTCTTGCTGCACCAAGATGACATGCAGCAATGGAAACCTCTTAATCATGAAGGTAACAGATTCCTTTAAAATATCAAGGTCTCAATATTCATTCAATATTTTCTTAAACATATATAAAGCAGCAAAGTGACAAGAGACTGGTCCATATACAAACCACACAACTGTGATCATAGGTCATAGATCAACAACACATTTATCCATTACGATGAAATGGTTTGGTAAAGATGATTGCTCACCTTGAATACAGGTACATGCCAATACCAAAAATGAAATGTTCATAATTCAAATTCAACAGAAGGTGGAACAGTGAAATAATGGGTACTAGGGTTTTTTATGTCACTATTGTAATTCTAATGGAGAAGTCTTAAAGGAAGACTTTATATATATACTGATTCTGATAATGTTGACATAGGCAAGTGACCAACTTCGAGTTTCAATATATATAATTAACTATAATTCTGGTCATAAAGATGATCAAGTAAAACAAAATTTAATATAATCATCTGCAAACTGCTACTTAGACATACACAGTCTAACCTACCTACAGACAACATTTGATTTGTAAGATGTTTCAGTCATGTATATGATTCAGTATGCCACTAATACAGGAGGAAGTCCTTGTGACAAATTGTACTTTGATAATAATATTTACTTCCTAATTTTAACCTGCAATGATTTATCCTGCAAGTGCATATATTATATTAAATGATACATGTATTAATAGCTTCAAGAAGCTGTTTCTGATATGTAATCTCTTAGAAAAATATCAGGATAGATAAATTAAGATCCTGAAAAAATTTATGTTCACCAGCTTATGTCGACAGCCATGTAACAGATCACAGAACAACCTGTCCATGTGTCACTACCCCAGCACCATTTATTTCACAAATATTCAGTTACTACAACAATCCTCAGTTCATCATACAGTATTCAAAATATTAATGTTCATTTGATGTGGTGTCTTATTATATATCAATGTTCATTCCAAGTTATGCACAATAATCTGCAGATATGTTCTGTTCTACTAGTTGTTCAAACTTCTCTCGTAAGCAATAAAACTACAAAGGTAAATGCATCAATTTTCGACACCACCTCACTGAAGTATAGATGTAGGGTGAGGTTAAATTTCATGTATTCCTAACCTTAGCTCTAGATAACATAATGGTATTATCTCTGGGTAGAGTGGCTCAACACCATTCTAGACAGTAATGAGAAAAATTCCAGCACCCCTGGTGGAAATCAAACCTTAGCCAGTCAGATCATAGCTCTTTATTGACCTCATGACTTTCTCTCGCCATGATATAATAATTATAAAAAAAAAATAATCACTAGTCTGAGAATTGTAATTTATCTAAAAATTATTCACTCCATCTCTTTCTGGGTGAAGCCACATTATGTAAAATCCTCGAATGTCAATGCCTGAAAGTTTCACCAATTAGTGTTCAATTTCCTCTGTTTAAAGTTTTCCTAGTGCAATAATGAAACTGATGATTCAGAGAAAAATAAAATACGGACTTCATTGTTTATGGATGATACTTTTATTTTATTTGCTAAGTACTAAGGAGGCAGCAATCCTGATCCCTTGACTGAATGCTGAAATACAACGGAAAAATTTAATTCAAATTTGAAACTTCTTGATGCATGTGAGACCTCAGCAATGCTTGGATATAAGAAATTATTCCACAACTCAATATCACGGTGCCCTAATGTCATACGGTATCTATCAGAATGCTTCAAACATTTTAATTTGTTCACTTCAAATGTATTTATACCGATTTTTATTCTGATGAAATCATCACCTACATCAACTCAAGAATTCAAAAGGCAGAATCTCGTATTAATCCCTTAATTCTTATTAATCTTATCAATTTAACATGCACGGGTATATCATTAGCACCGAATCACTATCATGAACACTGCTTTTAATTAAGATAAACCACAAATCAGGGGTGCAGAGTGATATCATCAATGAACCTTCAAGGAACCACATTATGACAAAGTTTTGCAATTAATGCTCTAAAGCAATATGAAAACTTCTGACATATTAAAGTAAGTGAATTATATTTTCAGACAGAGACAGACACACACACACAAATCTGAGCTTTTAAGAAGAATCTTAGTAATACTTCGGCAGTATTTTTTGTACAACTATTTTATATGCCATATAATGGAATGTAACAGAAAAGAAGATTAAATATCTAAGTTACTTTCTGAGGTTCAGAAATTCAGGAGAAGATGCTGTTAAAGAAATACAGCACAGACAAAAATATTATGGATCAGTTGTTCTGTGACCATGTGATATGAACAACCAGGCACTGCTGTGGGTAGTCGAGACACCAACACAGACCTGTATATATGCTAAAACATATCTTTTTAAATAACATATTCAGCTACCCCAGTTTTATCTACAGGCACAAAATAATTGATATATAGAAACTACTAGTTTTAAAAAGTTCAGATCTGCCACAACATTTCTGTTGTTGTTTCACAGTGTTATATGGAGAAACTGGAAAAACGTTTTCAGATTTATAGTAAAGCCAGAAAGGCAGCCATTAATCTTGTGTGGAACAGGATTATCAAAAAGGTATGAGATATGAAATTCTCACAGCAGTGAATATTACAACTGTGTACTTCTGACATATGATACTACATAGTCTGTAGATAGTGTCATATGCCATATGCCCACAGACTTACTAGAAAGTAATTAGGAACATTCACCAGAATAAAATGGTTCACTTTAATAACAGTACGGTTCAAATGTACAATGAGAGGAATCTTACCACACGAACCATAGTATACGAGGACAGTGACTTGTCTTCCCTCCTAGTAAATATTCAGACTAAAAAATTATATACTAACAAGAAAAACCACTAAAAACTGAAACAATCTGGTTATAGAATTGATAATATCGAAAGCGAGGGCAAATCATTTTCTCATTTTATGGGTCATTATTTCAAAACATCATTCATCAACTGATTTTACAGTTCTATGTTCTATAAAATTAATATTGCATTCCTTTTCTACCCACTGTTCATATTCACAAGAATTTTATGCTAATAAGAAGTCACAATCAAGGCAACTGTTGCACATACAGGCCAACAAGCATGTTCAACATGATACTAAATATTGGTCAATAAGAAGGCTTGTGAGGAAATGTTACTATACTTGCAAAACAATATTTGGGTAGAAACACTGTGAGCATGGTCATATCAATGAAGAAATTATGATATTTAATAAATACATACATGTCAGTCTTTTGATAATACTGACAGCTTCTTTCCAATGTGACGATTCCTTTCTGGAAGATGAGATCTTCCAAAACACATAAAGAAACCCAAGTCATAGCAGCCTTCAATTTCAGAGACACACACAAAAGTGAGTGCAAAAACAGTGTTTTCGGTACTGACTAATCTGTTCCGTCTTATCAATGTGACAATCAGTTAAACACAAGGTTTTATAGGACAGAATTTTATGAAACTGAATGAATGCAGTGAAATGGCTGTAATTATATCATTTGCACTTGATTTTCTTCATATAATAATGGAAACAACAACAAAACATTTTCTATTTAATTACATTAAAATCAGACCATAAATCACACAGCTTTCAGAAGTGATCATCTCAATTTATCCTACATTGTGTATATTTGTGCACACTGCTTTCCAGATGATTAGAAACATGATGTTATCACAAAGTAATGAGGCACCAAGATCAATGTCACCAAAGAACTGCCTTCAATTGAGGAACAGCATTCTGCTGCTACCGTCTGCCGCCAGAACGCTTGCCATTCTCCTGTGCTGCCCGTCGTTTTGCAGTCTGCCTCTGATGCTCATATTCAAAGTCTTCTTCTGTGAGGTTAAGCCGATTTATCTAAGGAAACAATCAAAAGAGGTTAATTTAATATTTAATTTTTTTAATCTTCCCACCTGCAATTAATTCCTATCTTACCAACCTTATTATCAACCATTTGTAGAGCATGCCATTGGTAAGTGGGTAACTTCTCTTACATGTGAATATTACAACACAACCTCATAATCTAACTGAAGGTATCAAGCAGAGTTAAATCATTTTTTCAGCAAAAATTTCTCACTAACTTGGTGATTACCACAGTTGCTGAAAATGATGCCATCTGATGTCGAATCACATTTCCCAAATTTTGTGACACGTTTCATGTCCAACCATTGCGAACAGCACACTTCTTGTGAGAATTAGAGTTACGCATACTTCCGACCAGCCATTTCATGAGTACACATCACAGAAAATTCAGTATCATTTCTACAGACTTTGCAATTAGCAAATAATCAGTAAAGGACTAGAGCCATCATGCTTCACACAGATCTGAATGGATGTGATCTTTATCTTGGAAAACTTGAAATAGAAAGTACACAGAAATAATCCAGACACTTCGGAAGATTTACAGACTGAAATCAATAATATTAGATGTTCCATGCTGACTGGGTGGTCAAAAATTAACAACCCTCAAAAATTCATCTTCCAGGAAATGCTGAATGAAGTACTTCCCCGAAATCTTCAGAAAAGTCATGGTGCAATGTCTTGCTGGAAAATGGTGTTCACTCATGAAACTGAGTGGAGGAATGCAAAGATACTACACTCAATATGATGCTATTTGTGTTCTTGGAGACAGAGCCTCCTGAAACCCCACCATTACTTTTGAGAGACAGTGTACTAACAGGTTTCTTTTACTAGAAGTAGAGTGAAAAATTAAAAGTTTGCTTTGATGTAGCAGTTGATTATACTACAAACCTCTGGGCACAAGGATTCTTCATGAAACAAAATATTGGATCCCACTGAGATACAGCATGAGACATTTGTACAGCCCAGTGTTTTGCAACCACTTACATTTCTGGCAAAAGAAATAAGCATCTGCCCCATGGCTTCCTCAGTCATAATACCAAGTTTTAGCTGTCTTTCTTGTTTCACATACTAGAGCCAATTCTGTTTCTTGTACTACACATTATGTGTTGTACCACCCTTTGAATTATCCTTAATGACTCTTCATTGAGAAACATCAACCTAGCTAATAACTTCATAACAGCCAGTTCAAAGGAGTTTTCATAGTCTTCAACTGCAGAGATTATGTAGCAATGAATGAGATGGGAAGATAATCATGAATAATAAGGTATTATCTGGACAGAATATGGAAAGCCATGAGACCCTCATCAAGGAGAGGTGTTAAACCAGCTGACATCTGAACAGGTATCTTTCTATTCACATTCATATGAGATGCAGCAGCATGTAAGCAATAATGCTCACCCCACACACTCATGCACACACTTACTGTACAGGTACTTTTTTATTTGGGGGGGGGGACTGTATAAAAAAAAAAAAGGCTTAGGCAATGCCCATCTGGCCCTATGTAGCACATTCTTACAAACATCTTCTATCATAGTGGTCACTCCTCAATGTTTTAACATCTCTCTTAAATTAACTCCATTACTATTACCGTTACTATTACTAAGAATATACTACTAATATTTATTGCATATACTTCTTCTTCCTTTCATGTAATTTAGGAATTTTGTTTATGAAGTAACAGACGCCTTGCATAAATCCTTTTTCCTTTAGCCTTAAGAACTTTGTGACTGACTTTAGGTATTCTTTCTTGCTGTTCTCAGACAAAATGTCCATCATCGTTTTAAATGTAATAGATACAAACACTGCTGGCACCATCTAGTTGTGTAGTTGCAAAGAACATTAACACACAAAACTCTATTGAAACCATTCCTGCCACTGGGCAAAAACTGATGGCCCTGAAGGCTTCTCAATCATCTCCATGTTTTTCTGCATGGAGAGCACTGATTTGTGGCATTAGAGAACGAGAACTGCAATAAACTATTCAATCTACACATACTGAATTCAGAAATTAATCAAGATGATGATGATGATGATGATAGACTCTCTTCTTTCACTGTCCAACAATGAAATACATTATTTCATTATGACAAAGCATAGCAGTGAGTAAAGTAAAGCTATCCCTGTAACAGGCCATGGACGCCCATAAGGTTGTGAGATGTTGAGGTTCCCACATTTTCTAGACAATTGGCTCATAGATGGTGGCAAGGTTGTCAGCCCTACGCACCGGGCGCCCTTTACCCCCAGGAATATTCCTGGTACTCATTTCTGTTAGAGGCTGAGTTGACCCCAGGGCCATAGTGCGACTGGAAGGATTAGGTCAACTGAAAAAATCCAATGACCTCATTGGGACTTGAACCCACAACATTCCAGCTTGTAGCATAGTGCCTCAACCAACTATGTTACCGCATGTCTCCAAACATAGCAGTAAGACTGAAAAAATGATAAGAAATAAAATTCCCATATAAAAGCTTTCTACGCTGCACTTGAAAAATGGCTACCAAGATTAGGTTCAACTATCAAAACTGTCATTGTTAATGTACTTTACCTGATGTACAACAAACTCTTCATCCATGACAGCTTGTGGAGGGTTTCTGAGCACCTCTAGTGTTTCATACATGGTAGGGCACTTCTTCAGTACACCTTGACGTCCCAGGCTGAATTTTATGACTACTAATGCTACCTTGAAAACTATCTTCACTCCTATATGAAGGTACAGAAATTACTTCATCAGAAGAGCTGGGTGAAAATCATATTAGTGGATCATGGTTATTTCTCTACTGCCTTCACTATGCCACACTCATACCTCATACAGTGGGGTTATAATAAGAAACACTTCATGTATTTTGTAGTTCTGAAAGTTAGTTAATAGTGGTCTGGTGTCACGATGTAAGGAGATTCCCGGGATATTCTCCATTGTATGGAGACAAGATTAAGACTAAAGCTTCTATCTGCAAATGTAAACATAATTACTACTTTAGAAAATGGACACTGTCTAAGGAACATTCTTACATCATGAATAGGTGTATTTACTACACAGAAGAGTTCTATCTTCTGGGATACAATACTGTATAGTGCACTGAAAGTCAACCCATGTTTTGGAGAAACATTTCACCTCTGTCTTCATGGTTGAAAAATATGGCAACAATGAACTCAAGCACCAAGCAGGGTAACTAATGACTGCTTGATGATGGAAGTGACATGTTCCTCCAAAAGTTTTGTTAAACATTCCACATATTACACAACATTATATTATAAAAGGCAAAACTCTTCATAACCAATGCTGTGAGACCCTCAAATCAAACTAAACTGTAACACATTCCACTTACACTATTAAATTCAGTAACATTTGGCTAAACATGCTTCAATATGATGATAATTTATGGCACTAAATATAAGGGCACATTTATAACAGAAGAGCAAATCCATACATGGTTTCACAGTATATACATATGTTTCAGTAAGGCAAACTAGTGTGAGGGGTTTGTATGTGAAAGAGAGGAAGATGTCCACTTAATATCAAGAATAAAAAACACATTTCTTATCAATAATTTTAATTAAGTGCTACTAACCTTCACAAAGGAACATATCCCAGACTCGAAGAATGGTATCCCAAGGCAATGTACGAGTGAACACACAGAGAAACCATTCAGTCATGTACAGAATTGGCTCCACCTTCTGCTTTTTCTACAAAGATATTTCATCACATCATATGTTACCATAATGTCATAACTTCGTTAACCAATAAAGTACTGCACATTAATGCCTGAAGCGCTACTCAATATAACATCAATGTCATTTGCATTTATCTGAAGAAAAGATAAGATTATTTTCTAGTAACTACACCATCACACTTTGATGGCCTCATTAGAGGTAAATAATAATAAACCTTCCGTTAGGGAAAGATATGCACTAACATTTAAGCAAGCAGACATCATTAGATATGACCTGATTTGAACATTACAATTACAACGATTGGAATAAGTATAACAAAGGAGTTTTGCTGGAATGAAATACAAATAAACACATGAACATGTAAGAGGTACTCACTAAATGTTTGTATACATTAGGAGCGACCTTCTTCAGAAGACCAAATAAGATATCACCATCCACCTGAAGGGTCTCCTGTTCAAAAAGAAATCTGTATCATTACCACTGCAATACTACAGGAAGAAACAAGAATTATATAATAAAACAAGGTTTGTTTTAATCATTGATAAGACAAATCATTCTATCATATATAATTATCACCTCTGGATCAATGATTAGTAGCAAAGTTGAAATTATCAAAACAGAAACCTCATTTAACAAATATTTTAATCATACTTAACTTACTCCTTACACTGTAATTTTATGTCACTATGACAAACTTCCGAGCCCTAGTACGATCTTCTCAGAATGAAAGTACACTATCCTGTTTGTGTCACAAGAATTCAATAGTTATTTTTTAACTACTTTTCTTTTTAAAGGAAAGACATTATGCCTATGAGATCAACATTCTTGCTCTGTGTGTGCATCCCACTTTCAACATTTTAACCAGATTTGGTACAAATATTATGTATATGGAGGCCACCTCAGTTTTCAACTCCATACTATCAGTAAAAGCAACATGATGTATGGACGAACTTGTGAGATGGAAACAATACTAGTGACAACTTAGTGTCCTGAAATGGTACATGAAAACAGATCTTAACCTTTAAGTGATGGCCCTTTAAATTGCGGTAATGGCAGCGGGATGGATTTGATTTAAATACCCGCAATTTTAAAGCAATAAAAACTGTAATCATTTCCTAAAATTGCTGTGATTTCTACAATTTTTGTGATAAACGAACCAAATAAACGCTGCTTTTTTCTAGAAAGAATATAGAATCAGATATTGTAATTTACAGACTTTATAAAATGTGTAAAAATTTTTAGACTGATTCCAAGTATAAAATTCCCAAATTTGTCATCTGTCTACAAGAATTCATATAGTTCTTGGAACTAAGAATGCTCTATGTACATGTGGCAACACAGCGGATGGTTATGTAGACATGTTTTGTCTTGCATGTCTCGAAGCTTATACACGTAGTACCTTCTTTCATAATGCAGAGATGAGGGGTGAGTATCTCTTCGTTTATAAGAACGTTGATTGTTTATACACAACAAGTTCTTTGTACTGATCCTGCTCGGTTAGTTTATCACAACTCTCAAGGCTATCGTCTTTATACCACAGCCAAGCAGTGTCATCAAGCTTCAAAGTTTCGCAGCGAGAACAGTGATATTGTCAGCTCACCATGGCGTGGTCTCATTTGGAAGATTCAGACATTTTTCAACTCATAAATGACTCCGAATCAGATTGTTTTACCGACAATTCTGAGAGTGGTGTTGAGGAAAGTGATTCAGAAATGGATTTCGACGAAGACCCATCATCTTCGTCGGCAAACCTGTGGACCACCACACCAGCATGGCAAGAGGAGTGTGAATAATTATTCAGGTGGAGCTGTGGGCAAACTGTAGCAAGCAGTTATAGCATCTGTCGTTGAACCTGGAAATGGACAAATAAACTATTTTTCCATCTCCTGGATCTGAACAGTTACATCCTGTTGTCACACAGAGAATTTCGTCTCGCTCTTGTGCGGAACATGCTGGAAGGGGTCCACCTCGCCATCAACGGCCCAGGGGTCGAACCCCTGCCGTTTCATCGGAGATATCTCGATTAGAGGAGGCCAAACCACATCACTGGCCAACTTCCTCTACTTCGCAATTGAGGTGTCGTGCGTGTTTTTCGCGTGGGAAACGAAGAACCGTCCGGACAAAGTGCGTGAAGTGTGACGTCGGACTCTGGACTTCCGGATGTTTCCAAGATTTCCACACGAAGCCAACATTCCGTTAGACGACGCAGGTGGGAAGAGAGACAACTTATAAAGATGGTGACCAAAATCATGTAAGTAGAAAAAGAATTTATAACTTAAAATTAGATTTTAAAAAGACAGCCGCACGCGTGGACTGTGCGATGACATATGGCATCATTCGTCCCCTTGACTTTATTTTAATGACACCAAATGGCATCGCTCGGCTCTTAAAGGTTAAAAAATTATACTACCTTTATTGAGGTCATTCTTTTCAATATTGCATTCAATTGATCTCAATTAGCATAAAGCTACAGATACTTGCAAGCCCTCTAATTAGCACAACTCACGGTACTGCAGGCTGCTTTACCCCACAAGGTATGTATTTTCAGATAAATATATCACTGGACATGAGTACCACCTTCACTTACTCAGGAGCAGTGACACCCCTCTAGTGATTTGCATACAGATGGACTTACCATTCCCTGGCTGTAGTAGCCACCAAGGTATTTGTCACAAATGGATACGAGGCACCAGAAAGCCTGTTCTGCAGGCATGTGCATAAGTAGGAAAGCTGCCAATGGGGCCTGAGCCTGGCAATAGCCAACACTTGAATTGAGGATAGAATATGCCTTAAGGACTTGGAACAAGTCACGCTGCCTGTCAAAACAAAAATAAACATAATTAATGCAAGTAGCACATACATACAATACAATTTCTGTGCAGCTGAAGTTTAGTGTTACATAAATTCAACCAAAGAACACAAAAATTATAAAAGTGGATAACAACATAGGGTGTCTGCAGCATGAACCTGCCTGTTCTGCTACATTTCATAGGTTCTGGTTCACTAACTGCAGCCTTCCTTCCTTCTTTCCTTGTTTCAAATGGACAAAGATCATCTAATATTCCAAGGTGTACTCAGATTTGGTGTAATGTGTAAGCAGAAGACTGTGTGCCTACCATCCAAGATGAAAATATTAGTAAACATTATAAATTACAGTGGCGCATCTCAAACACTCCAAACCCCAGCTCACTGAAAAATTAATCTGAACGTGTACCCTTCAAAGGTAACCTAAGCAAAAGTTATCATTACCCTTCATGCAAGTTCAAATATATTCAGTCATAAGTGATTAGGGCATGCTGGATGCCCATGTGTCATTTCATTGCACATAGTGAACATAAGTGAACATAGGAGCAAGATAACTAAAACTGCCACAAAATCTGCACACACTTCCTAATCTGGAAAATGGAAATGTATCATTATGTAGTCATATGCATCTATACTGTATAATCGTTTGTGGAATGAGAAGACAGCACAATATGATACAAGAAATTCAGAACTTTACCAAATTAACCAACATTTATACACAGCTACAGAGTACAACAACCAAACATTATGTGCCACATATTTTGAGGAATACAGTAAAGTCCATTATAACATGCCTCAGTAGACCGTGCATTTGGATATACAATTAGTTTAGTCATGTCTCCTAAAATTATTCTACTTATTTTCTTTGTAAACAATGTTGTTTCAAATTTTATTTTGATTTCTTTCTTTATAAACAAATCTGTTCAAACAATTGCAACTAATCAGTTGGGCTGATTGGGTGATATAACCTTGCATATGATCAGTGATTTGCTAAGCAGACATTAATGCTTCTCTACATGAGCCAGGGAAAAGCCCTCCAAGAGCTGGAATTAGTGTGGCATGTAAGAAATACTGCACCCTGGCTAAGGTATAATCAAACATACATTTCTAAAGGCTTTTGAGGAAATGTGTTATTACAACTAATTCTCTTGTTTCCTTCATACAGTTATATTTCCTACAAGCAAAAACTTTCAAGTTAAAAATATTAGCTCTCATGAAATCTCCTGTAATACAGCCGGTTGCTGACAATGCATGGAGTTTGCTGTACTTAACTATTTTTAAAAGATATATTTATTTTAAATTCTGGGCACAGAATGTCTTGATGACATAAGTATTTACTACATATGAATAAAATATTAAACTTCATGGGTGACATAGGATTCAAATTCCTTAATGAATTTGAAGCGGGCAAAAGTTGGAAGTCTAAATAAATAATTAATGAAAGTTTCAAACTCACTAAAAAATAAACACTAATTTTTGAAACCATTGATGATAATTCATACACTATTGACATTCTTAACAAAATAAATGATTTGAATTTATACACGATCAAAAAATCATTCTGCTTCCCCTGTACACATCATTAAGTTCATCTGTTCAGTCTCCTCATCCAAAGCTTTCAACAGTTAGCAAAAACTGGATGAAACATAAAATCTTTACCCATGACCCTCCTGATCAACAAACATCTCATGATACGGAAACTGGCGATGGAGATCTTTCCGAATGTCATCCACCCATCGCGGGTCGCCATCTTGTGCTGTTAACTGTGCATACAAGTTTCTTCTCTGATCCAAGAGCAACTTCCCACCGCATAAATACAGCCATGCACGAGGACGCACTGATGGAGGGATGCCTTTCCTACAACGCTCTCTAACCTGTGTACGAGAACAGAGGATGAATAACCTCAAATTCATATCACTACAAACACAAATAAGCCACAGTTCTAACTAAAACGTCTGTGCAACATTACAAGTAATGATGACATTCTATCAAAATATTAGAGGATATTGAACAATTTTAGCCAATGAAATCTCAAATTCTTTTATATTTGTAGTAGCTGGCAAGGCAAAGTTATTCATATGTTTAATTAAGCACCAGGTCATGAAGAAGTATGGAGTCCATGTATATACAGATCCATAATTCTTTCCTTCAGCACTAGATGGAGGTGTATGGTCAGCTTTGCACCCCAGCTATTTTACCCCACAGAAAGAGCTCCAAGTACCCACTAGATGGGAAGTTGGGTGGGTCCCAGAGTTTATATGAGCAATATGGAGAAGAGTAAAATCTCTTGCCCCTGCACCCCATCACTATACTGGCTCCTGTAGTAGGTGGTATAAGACTACAATATATTAAGATCAGCTATATCTTCTGGGAAATCACATTGTAGTCTGGTAGAAATTTACTGTTTCAAATGAATGTACTGCTTCCATCTTCAGCATTAAAGAGTAAGCCAATTAAGCACTGTAAATTTACTCTAAAGATTTAAACAATACATTCCTTCAAAATATCAGTACACTTCTACCAGAGTACAAGGTTTAACATCCCACTGAATAGTACCCCTCTTGGTGATGGCAGTGACAGCCTCAAATTTTGTCCATAACAGACGAAGTTCTGTTCACCTTTTTGTAGTTTTTGGTCATAAAACGTTCCCAGTTGGACAGCATACGCAGCCATTTTTGTTCACGCCGTAACACCACACCAGGAGGCACCAACTGCTTCCTGGACAACAAATATTCCAAGCAATCAACTTTCTTGCATCTTACATGACTTGAATGTGGCATATAACTGCACAAATCAGGTCTCCAACAAGCAGCCTGTAAAGTTGCTTTATGCAGACCTCTATTTGGTTCGGCCTGATCTGACTCCTTTATTTGGCCACTCTAATATGCAACCTGGAACACATATCCTTAATTTTTCTGCACTCATTTTTTCATAAAACAGTGTAACAACGATTCTGGTATGATGTGTAAAAATTAATTAAAAATTAAATGAAATGGAATGCTATGTTTTATTACTTGACCATCTTATTTGTAAATTAGCAGTTATCAGTAACAAACTTTCAAATATGCTTCTGCTGCTTAGAATGAAGTGGGATTTGTCATGTATCATAAATATAACAGTTTGTACCCTAGATCTGAGATCTCTGTTTAAATATTAGCAACTTCTCCTGTCATGTGAAGTGTGCCTGAGCACCAAAAAGCACACCACGAGGCCAGATTACCAAACAAGTTGGCTCAAATGGAAAGTGCCTAGTCTTATTTTGGCTGGTATACTGACTACTGCTGTGCTGGTAGTCATGATTTTCCTCAGTTCCTGCATGCAAATGTCATGATAGTAACTTGAACTAGGCCATGCCCACTTCTTCATCAAGGTTTTCAAGTTCACCAGTTATGATTATTTATTTACACAGGCAGGTTCTTACCTTTGTTGACTGGTTCATGGCTTTGCACTTCCCTGCAATCAGTGCACCACCGGCTGTGAGGAGCATACGAATTTTGCCAATGAATCAATATGCCTGACTGCTGCTAATGTTCGTAATAAAGTAGTTATGATTCACAGATAACAGAAAGCGTTGAAAATGCTGTCCTTATACATGCAAAACATTCCTTGCACCAGTGGACATCATTCTGATTTATCTTTGAAGCTGCTCTGCAGGAATATTTGCGATTTCCCTGCCAATATTTTCTTTTAGTTCTTCGGTTCCGGTGTTACTGTTGTAAACTTTGTCCTTCAAACAACCCCATAAGTAAAAATCACAAGGATTAGGATGGGGTTAACATGATGGCCAAATACCACTGCTAATAATTTGGTCCCCAAAGACATCAGACAAAGCCTGAATAGATATATTTGCAGTGTGGGCGGTAGCTGAGTACTGAAACCAGCCATAGACTCTTTCCTCTTCTGTTAACTATGGAAAGAATTGTATGTGAAGGATCTCTACGTGTCTTTCACAACTAACTGTTTCGTTAAAAAACAAATGTCTACAATCCTTCTTGCACCTACAGCACACCAGACACCATCTTTCACTGGATGGAGCAGGACTTCATGGGTTAGATGTGGATGCTGTAAACTCCAGTAGCAACTATTTTGCATATTTATGCATCCCTGACAGCGAAATCATGCTTCATCAGAAAAGAACGTCAACTGTGGATCGATCTCACCTTCGTCGACAGACTGCTGAAACCAACTGAAAAAATGAACCCTGCTAGCTGGATCGCACGGCTGCAAGGTGTGGATTACTGTCGCTTTATAGGGTCTACACTTCAGTAATTGTGTTGCCCTTCTTGCACTATACTTCGACACTCTAGTCTCTTGAGCTAGAAGTTTCAGTAATTTTCTTGGTGTATGTTCAAGTCTGACTCCTATGTCATCTAACTTTTCTTTATTAAGCATTTGGAGGGTTGTGTTTTTTCTTGTCCTGTTGATCTACGTGTATAAACCATATTGTGAACTGTTTTTCTTTTGGAAACTCTTTCTTCATGAAATTTAAGCTGAAATTTTTGCTGACACTTCCTAGCAGATCCATATTTTATGTGGGTGTCATACAGAAATATATATTGTTCTAAACTATACAGCACCATGATGGAACAAACTTCTCACTAACTGTAACTGAGAACAAATGGCTAATGGGGCTGATAACTGCTAACCATTTCTGACAAATCATAAACAAATTCCTGTGCATGAACCGCACTGCTTGCCACGAACCATAATGCCATCAAGCGGTAAACAAACCTAATTTCATTCATTCATTCAATCACTTATTCATCAATGGCTCTACAGCCCTTTGTGGGACCCTGGCCTCTTCTTCAGTTTCATAATCTTCTTTATATAGATGATAGGACTCCTTGGATAAGTGATCAGCCCATCACAAGGCTGCTACCTATATAAAAGACAACACAAACATAGAATAAATGCATACAAAGACATCCGTGCTTTGAGTGGGATTCAAACCCACGATCCCAGCATTCGAGCGTATGAAAACAGTTCATGCCTTAGACCGTGCGGCCAACGTGATCGGCTCAAAAACTTAATAACTTTCCTCAATTCCAAACGTTATCGGCCATCAGGCATACTGATTCACCGGCAAAATTCACATTTGCCTCACAGCCAGTGGTGCACTGGTTGACGTGAAGTGCAGAGCCGTGAACCGGTCAACATGGGTAAGAACCTCCCTGTATTATTCAATGTTTGATAACCTCAGTGGCTGATAAAATTCCACTAAATAAAAAGCAAAATGCCACACATTCTTAACCCCAGAACAGGTGGATAGTTGGCTTCACGCTATGGCTACATTTACCCTCCCCAATCACAAAACAATTTGTCATGCACAAATTAATTTGAAGCTGAAACGGTTTCATATTAATGAAGATACAATTTATTGCGCATATAATTGTTGATACACTGTAAGAAACAGTATTTAATGTGTTTCTAAAATGTGCGACAGTGGTCTATACAGTAAATCAGTATTTTCTGTGGATACTATCCATTCTATTATCATGATGATGATGGAGGAGGAGGAGGAGGAGGGGGAGAAGAAGAAGGAGAAACATTTTTTCAAGGCTGGCTTTGTCTGCAACTTCAGGTACAAAAAATCTGCTTATTCTGTGAGCCATTTCGAATAAACTAGTATCTGTTACTATGTCTATGTAAATAATTTAGTTTAGAGCAGTTCAACTCTCATGAAACGAATCAATGGCTATAAGCAAATGATCATATTACATTATTGAAATTGTGTCAACTGTGATAGACATGATAATATACATATGCTACTCTGCACTTTTCACTGGAATCTGTTTAGCAGTCCTCACAACTTAACAACATACTATGACAGGAAGGCAGACACTTTAAATGGCCAGTTATTGCCTGTAAATGCTGCTTCCTAGTTTGGATGAAAACTCTTTGTCATTCAACGCAGAGGCTAAACCAGGTTCACGGTGCAGCTATACAATGGAAACACTGTTTGAATGACAAATAACTGTTTAGCCAAAGAGGGCACCAAAACAATCAATGCTATAACCTGGTGATTCCATGCTTTGAAAATTCAACCCACTGCTGTATAAAACAAACTGTGACAATATTCTACACTCCACTAACTCCCTCAATTGTACTACAGCTATTCAGCTGGTCAAGGAATTCTCTGCTTTCACAGAATCTACGAGTTTATAAAATGCTTCCCTATGCCAAGTTAAATAAATCCAACTGCTTTCACACTGTTAAGAAATCAGCCCAATTATTAAATATAATAAATTAGTTCTTTTGGCACATTCACAACAGAATGTTGCAAATTGTGTCTGTTTGTCTACTGGCTCACATGTAACAACTTGAGAACCACTGAATGGTTTTTGTAGTGGCATCTTTAAATTTCAAAACATAAATACCACTATGCACTTCTGCAACTTCAATAATTTCTTATTACCTCTATATACCACGTTTTAACAGCTTCATAAAAAGCTCTGAAGTAGTAATTTAATACTGAGGTGTAAAACTGATGAATTATAAGAAAATAGGCTTGATGTAAGGTTTCAATCAAAGCTGTCATATTTCAGCATCTCTTAAGGTACTTGACCACTAAGGAAAAATGAGTCACAAAGAGAAGTCACAGAAGTCATAAATTACACTCTTATCAGTAAGGTTGAGTGTACTGTTCATAACTGACTACACTTGAATGCAAAATACGATGACAATGAAGCAACTCTGGCATATGTAAACCGTTAACCTCATGAATTATACTTAAACATACAAAGACTAGTAGGTAAGTACTCTTATTTTTACAATAAATTGGTTTTATATCATTATGTTGTAGATGCACGTAGATACTCCTAAAAACTCTTCTAAAACATAAAATTAATTTCACTGCGCATATCTTGGGGGGAGGAGCAGTACTGGAAAATATGTTTGTACATTCCAAACTGACAAGTATTGCCGCCACTATGTTTTCTATACAGAAATGGGAGTAAACACTTTTGGAAAATTCTGTGAGCAATCTCTCTGTTATATGAATTATATAAATGTCATACATCTACTAACAACGTCGATTCTAAAAACGTCTCTCTCTCTCTCTCCACCACCACCCCAAGCAAGCAGGTAGCTTGCACACAGCATACTCGATAACCCTGAAGATGGAGACATTAAGTTCCTTCAAAACATCAATAAACTTCTACCAGACAATATGGTGTCACATTCCTAAAGATTATACTCTTCACGGTCACCACCATGAGAACCTCGAATTCACAATAAAGTACTTCATGATTTCTGACATAAGAAAAGTCATTAAACTTTTGTTTTTTGTTAGTCATATTATTAATGAAAAAAAAAACACTCACATTCTTAGAGCAGAATTCTAATATATCAAATAAAATTGCACTGAAAACTTTTTTATATGGACCATTCATTCCAAATTCCATTCAGATGAAGTTGTTTCAGAGAGCAGGTGCACAGAAAAACACCATCTCCCCATTATGAGATCATTTTGACTGAACGTAAAGAACATGATGTAATAACATTTTGTCCAGCCCTGATAACAGACTGAGAGACTCAATGTAATCTGCCCTGCATTTTAATTAGTGCCACTTGGCTGTTGATGTAGAGTAACAGTGATGTGGGTGGAGGCAGACAGTATGATATCACACACAGAGCTTATTACACCACTGGCACCACCACTGTAACATATCACTCACCAGTATTTCTGTGTCACTATAATGTTACAAGTCTACTGGTACGCCTTCCAAACACAGAATATGATATTTGAATTTCTAGGCCAAATTAATTCTTATAATTATACATGATAAACAGTTCCATCCAGTGTGACTAGTGAAGATTTTTCGTATTTCAATCCCCCATCCCTTACATGTTTTGGTCTTTACAGACCATAACAACACAGCGCACCACGAACACCTACAAGACAACATTAAAGATTCCTCTTCTCAAGAACTACAAGGCGGTACACATTTGGCCCATTTTAAGAGAAGAAATAATAAAAAAGACACAAACCAACTTGGTTTACAATTTCCAACACAAACTAACTGTAAATATTTTAACATATTAAGACAGCCGCTGTAGTTGTTAAAACATTAGATTTTATATCCACTGTATTTTATCAACTGTACATGTATATATACTAGCATTCAAAAACGTATTGTAATAGTGGCTCCCGATTTTATTGATGTCTTCTTGAGGATGGGACCTGCTGTATACTTTACTTAGAGTTTAATTAACAACACTGTCAATAACATAAATCTATACAAAAAATTAATAGTTGGATGGAAAGGGTGTTGATGGAAGTGACCATGACCTAATTTGAAAATAGTATCCTGGCACATGCACTGAAGAGCAGAGTAGAGCCACGAAAACCCCCAGGTGGAATAGCAGATGTCCTGGTTGAGATTCCAGTCAGCACTTATGTCTGCAATTGTGAAGCACTATCGCTGGATATAACTTGTTTGGTGATCATCTCCAATGATAATTCTGACAGCCCCTTTTCTTTCTACCAGAAGATGGAGAGGGACTGCCTAACTGGCAGCATGAAGGCCACCACCTGGTGCTATGTAGGCTGTGAAAATATCCTTCCACTTCCCAAAATGTCTGTAACAGTGTTTTCCCCTTCTTCAAGAAAGATGGCGAGTCTTGTCAAGAAACTTTAAGAAAAGTGCTAAGGATTCTGTATAATTCCTGACATGATTTCACATGGCAGCTCTGAAAAATATGGAACTGATATGACTCCAAAACTATATGCAATATTGATACAATCTCACAAACTTCTAATCACTGATTTTTAAAAACTACTGACCTGCTAACATTTAAATTAGATGCCATGTTTTGAACTTTATGAGTCCAGTTGTTATACATATGTTTTTGTTTCAAAGGTCTAATCACTGTGGGGCAGATAACTATATATACATGTGCAATGGAAAAAATATATTTTTATAAGTAGGCACCAATGTGCAATGTGTCTCCTCAGAAGTTTGAAGTTGTACAGCCCAGCTATAAAATATCATACATATTATCCAGGAAACAGTGTTCAAAGAACATTCTTCCATGATAGCCATAAGAGTCAACCAAAAATGGGAAGATGAAATGACGTCTATTAAAAATTCTTTCCCTTGTCAATGCAGGAAAGCACAATCTGAAGCCATTCCAATTTCACAGTTCTCATAAACTGAACCCCAAAATCCATGCTCTATATAAAGGATGTAATCCACCTACATTACTAGTAGTTTTCTCTTTTATTATGAAGTTCTACAAAGGTCAGGGACCTTCAAAATTGAAACTGTCAAACTAATCTAAAGGCTAATCAGAATAAAATACTACATAAGATATTGTTAATCTGGTTTATAATTTGTGTATACAGTACACAAAAATATGCCCAGTGTAAAGGTGGGATAGTGTAACAACCATTTCCCCTACAGAATGTTGTTGTACAGATGCGGGTTTGTCCTAGTTCATGCTTCATGCTGCTCTTATCATTGAAGGAACAGGTGGTAGCCTACTTCCTGTACATGATTCTGCCACTTATACTAATCATAACGTCTGCCTGCATAAAAAGGTAACACTTTCTACCATCACATTTTAACATGCATTTTGAGATTGCCTGCATACAGTGCAGTAAAATTAGGATGCTCAAATTAATTTCAATTCAATCCAAATGGATAAATTTAGAGAGCCTGAATATATTATGATTTTTTTTATTGCTAGTGGGGTGGGACTAAGTCCCTTGCACTGCGGCCACTTCTGGCCTATTGTACCAGTTTATTATGATACTTCAATTGCCTTTGTAGAATTATTAAATGTTTCTAATATTGTATCATAGCATCCTGTTGCACATCACTTAATTATCACTGATCATTAGCCATGTCACATGCAATTTGTTTTTTTAACCCTTTAGAAGTTCTAAACATTAAAATCCCTTCTACATTACTGGTGTATGCATATTACATGTTTTGACCAACTTTTGTCACCTTCAGGTGACTCTAAAACTGCTGATGAAGCTCCATGGAGTTAGTTGGTTATGATCATGATGATGATGATGATGATGATGATGATGATGATGACAACAATAATTTATCCTCTTAATTTTATTGTGAACCTTGTTTGTTTAATGTTGCTGTTCCTGGGTGTTCAAATTGTTCAAAGCATTTCCAAATGTTTTGTAACCTACAGTTACTCCATAACTTTGTTCAAGATTCCAATTTCATGAAGCTCATAATTTATGTCTGGGACATGCAGTAGCATAGTTGGTTGAGGAACTATACTACAAGCCGGAAGGTCACAGGTTCAAGTCCCGATGAGGTGGATTTTTTCAATTGACCTAATTCTTCCAGCCACACTATGGCCCTGGGGTCGGCTCAGCCTCTAACAGAAATGAGTACCAGGAATTTCCCTGGGTGGTAAAGGGAGGCCGGCGCATATGGCTGACAGCCTCACCACCATTTGTGAGCCAAATATCTAGAAAATGTGGGATCCTTGACATCTCACAACCCTATGGGCCTCCACAGCCAGTTACAGGGATAGTTTTACCTTTACATTCACCATAATTTATGTCTAAGACAGTTCACTTGAAGCTGCAATCTGAATCATGGCAACTTGGGTTTACATCCCCAGGGCTCACATATTTACTTTCTGTGCATAAGTTTTTACTTTATACAATACTTTCAGCCTCAAAATTACGGCCATATCAGAACAAACAATATCTGCCATTCACAAACCACATTCACATCCAAAAGAACATACAAAACACAAATGGTCAAATCTGCAACTGTGGTACACTGTTCATTATTCAGTTGACCCAATCCTGGTATAGACCAACTATATGTCTGCATGTACTACCTGTTTTAGCCTATTGCAGACATCATCGGGTACATACACCCTTTACCATCTCTCTTCTATACCTATCTACATTGGCCAGTGTTTAAACATTGCAAGTATATTATACAGATATGTTGTTTCTGTAAATGTTCTCATGTTATGGAATGTATTAAATGTTAAATCTGAAAATTGGAAAAAAAAAAATATTCTAATTGGAATTAAAGTTAATTAAAATGTTAAAAGGTATAAAAAATTCCTTTTCTTTCAATTGTCATATACATTTTTCTTTGCGTTGCCAGATGTTTTGGTGGTGTTTGCCAACATGCATTATTGTTTAACGTGGGATCCTTCCTATGACCTGAAATTTGAATGTGTTCTTGGTCTGCATGTTAGGTATGGGTATATGTCAGTTTTCCTTACCTTATGTTGATGCTCTTGTTATTTATGGCATGTCTATACCAGGATTATGTCGAGTAAGTAATAATAAACATTGTCTTACACTTAACATGATGCTACAGCATAATATTTCTAGTACACAATTTGTATTTTAGCAACACTAACAGACTTGCAGATCTCAAAACATAAAATCCATTTCACAGTTTTTAGTGTACATTAACTACACACACCTTCCTCAGATTCAGGCCTTAAAATTTGAAATACAGAACTTTGGTATTACAGTGGCAACAATAAATGGCTTGCACCCCTCAAAATCTCATTTTCTTCAGAACAATGGAAGTCAAACTACAGTAAATTTCGTAACTGAGATATTCTTCTTTCTTTATTTGATTATATTAATGGAATGATGTTGGTCAAAACCAAAAACTAAAATGGTACACTTACGGATCAGCAGTATACTGTGAACCACCAAGAAATCCATGACGATCTGGTACAGTTGAAATCACAGATCCATTGTGCACTGCACTACTTGCCTCGGAGCCTGTATCATCGTCATCTGCTTGTTCTTGATATGATGCCATCTTAACATCACATCCTAAATACAAGGGCAGCTTGGGCTAAGAACGATGATATTCTAGTTTGTGGAAACACTAGAGAAACAAGTTCCCTCCTTGCCTACATTATAAGTTCATTTTTAAAAACGTAACTCAAAACCTAAACTTTGGTTTCCATTATTTAAGACAAAAGGAAAGCCTAACATTACAAATGTTGGGTGGCCACCGGTATCTTCTAAGTGCCCCATATACTAGGATAAAACCACAAAGTTACACGAGGATATCGGCAAAGGCAATGAAATACGCAGCCTGTGACAAAACGCTTACTTGCTTACTTGACGCGGCAAACGTGTTACGAATATTTCACTCAATTAACTTCTCAGAAAAGGTTAATAACGGTTAGGAAAATCTGCAATGGACCACATTTTCAGGCAACATGCCAAGAGTTGCGTCACGAACACCAATTACTTCACCGTCCGAACTGGACAGACCTACGCGTTAATGTCACTTCACTGACAGAAAGTCATTGGCACATGTGAATTGGTATTACAAAAACACAACAAATGCAATTATATATAAATACAGAACTGTAACTGATTATTTTTACCTGGTAACAACACTCGGCAAATTGTTTAAGACATAGTTCTATTACTTGCTTGAAGTTCGGAATGCATATTGAACCCCTTCATGCAATATAAAAATTGTACACTTTCTCGATTCCTGGCGGCCATATTATCTTAAAAAAATTAAACATACACATGAACTACAAAAATCTATTTACTTTTATCGCCACGAAATTGTCCAACATTATCATACTCTTATCGTACCTTGGCTAAGCACTGCACAACACACCTACCCACAACCACAGACTAAAACGAACGTAGTAACGTTAGTAAACAAGCAAGCAATCACAGGATATGACGACTGCCTAGGCTGCCTACTATTACTTCTGGTACTATTTGCGGAGCGAAAGGTATATTTCTTTTGTGGATGAAAGTAAGGTTTCTGTCATGTACAAATCATATTTATTGCTGCCAGTTTTTTCTTACAAATCAACAATTCATCAACAATATCTGGAATACATTGTGCATTTAACAATTCGTACAACTTTCACATAAATCAACAGTATCTAGAATATAATATGTATATAACATTTTATACAACACAATTTTCACATAAAAATATATAACGACCTGAGCTATTATGGTGGTCAACATCAACAAGAATCTTTTCCTTACAAATGAACCTGTGTAAAATTAAACAATTATGAATCTGTCAGTTTGCTGTTATTTATTATCCTTTGTTGGAATGTTTTGGAGTCTTCCCTGTTTCTCTCTTAGTTAAACAAGACACAAGATAAGAGCCATGCAGCATCCAATATTAAGCTCTGGAATTTAAAACCCTTGGCATCCAACTTCAGTTATAATCCAAATTTAATATGTACATATGTTCAGCAATTATTGTATCACTAAGGTAGGCTGCACACCGGCATGCGTCAAGACATGTAACAGTCAAGGCACAATGACTGCGATATGACAAAGAAAGGAGCACAATTGAAACGAATTAGATTATGAAAACCGCCGCACACTGGTCTGAGCCATGACGTTAGCATTATGACTTAGACCGGTGTGTGGCAGTTTTCATAATCTCATTTGTTTCAACTGTGCTCCTTTGTGTCATGTCACAGACATCATGTCTTGATGCATGCCAGTGTGGGGCCTACCTATGAGATATTTTTGAAACTGTTTCTATGCATTTATAACGGGCACAGAATATACCATATCTAATATTACAATTTAGTGCAGTGTACTAATACTGAATACTGTACTGATTCTTCTGTCCTCGTGCAACAATCACAACAGTATTCAGGCTTATAACATATCTAATCAACTCTTCTAAAGCAAGAATGCACAATACAAAGACTGCATGGCTTATTTCATATTTCAGTTAAAACTGCAAATATCACTTTAACTATTTTTGTTCTTTTTTTATAACACAATTTATTACACTGTCATTAGTGCTGTGGTGGTAAATAAAATTGTAATACTACAAGCCAATCCTTTGCAACACCCCAACATCTATATGACCTATTTTCCTCTCCTAACATTTGTCTGCTAGTGTTTCTTTCTGAGAGTACTATGTTGTCGGTCATCAAAGCAGAGATTCAGCTGGCCCTGCAAATATGGTATTTGATACACCATAAGTCTGCCATTCTTTGTAGACTTTTATGAACAATCTTACCAATATTCACATATTAACGAATTACATTTCAACTCAAAGCCCTGAACAAATGTGAATTCTAATTATCTGAGGAAGAAAAATAATGCCAGCGTTGTTTCAAATATTTAACAAGCTCCCTTACCTAATCGTTTACAATGTTTCATAACATACAACTAATACTGTTACGGTTAATATTTACCAGTTCCTACTGCCTTCCTGAAAGTTTCATCCATTACAAACTCAACAAATGTATCAATTGGTTTTACTATAAACGGAATACATGCGAGACCAATGGCCGTAGTTAGCCATTTACGAGTTTTAGATGGAAGCTTAGTCGTATGTTTCATTGTGTACAGTGACAATGCACATATTCTGTTGATGGTGATGCCTGGGATAATCACAGAAGCAAAACTTTGCCAGATCAATGTGTCTACTCCTGCAATGAACACCTGGTGATATTTTGTGCTGCTGTTCACAAATGGACGCTGTGAAATAAATAAACAAAAGAAAAATACAGATGTCCTTAAATTATAATTCATGACAAAAACACAGATTTCAACAACCAATATGAACACAAACCTTGCTCATTTTAAAGGTTTTGTCCACAGTGTCAGCCAAAACATACGTACTGGCAATGCCATAACTAAGGCGCACCCAGTTGACATGAATTTGGGGCCTAAATGCTTCTCCAACTTCATTGGCATACCCTAAATTGAAAAAGAAATGAATAATTTATTGACAATGTATGTATAGTTTCCTTTAGGAGCTTCAACTGTGTTAAAATGATTTGGATACATAATTTAAAATTTGGCTTATATGCAAAAGAAAAGTGTAACTGCACTCATAAACAAGTATATACATACAAGTAATAAAAATGACTATTGTAAGTATGTACATAATTTAGAGCTTTATAACAGAAAATCGTCAGCAGCAGGTTTATCTTCTATAACAAATTGCCTAACAACACAAAGCAAATAGGAAACAACAACCAGCTCAAAAAAGTATTGAAGAACTTTCCTATTAAGGCATGCTATTATTCAATAGATTAACTCAATGAACAATTCTATAACATTTGCTACTGATAAGCAAATGCATTGAATAAGCTATATTTCTAATATGTATATACCATAAGCATTAATGTATTTCGATGATAATAATAAAGATGGGCATGTCCTGTATCAATGCATTTTGATGTACGGAACAAAATAAAATGAATGAATGATGTTAGGGTGAAAAGTACAGTGTCCTGTGTCATAAAGCTGGGTAGTTTGAAGACAGCCTCACATTTTGGAGGAATCTGTTGTGTCAATATTTTGGGTTGAAGAATATGCCAAACAAGGAACTAGGAGAAGCAGATACCAAGTGGAATGTTCACTGAACAGTTCCAATGTCTTAAATAGTACTTCAAAAGCTGGGTCTGTCACCATCTTCAGATAAGAAATGAATAAGAGGGCCTGTATAATCTCCACTTCAGACAATGGAAAATTTCAGAGAAATATTTTGGTGCAATGTAACCAGATCGCATCACAGGCTTCTGAAACGACATAGGTTTAAGTTGTTATTCACAGGTTCTAATTCGGTGGCGTAATTTCGTATCAGTAACTAAAAATTACAAATAATAAAAACATTAACATGCCGAAGTCAAACAGATGTGAGGTGACTTTCATGCAGGGTCACGTCTCCCTCACTCCCACATTATAAAGATTAAAGCAAATCCACTATGATACTCTTATGTCTTGTTTAACCGTACCCGAAAAACAAAATGGTAAGGTTAAGAAGTCGGGAGACGCACACTGGATCCCTGACTCCACTAGTTGTCGAAAAATGATGGGACTGTACACAAGAAAAAAAAAACTCCGTGGTTTTAGTACGCAAGCGAACTATCAAATGACAAATAACGGCAATAAAATAATATCGAAGAAATATATTTCACAGCTATAAATACCCAAAAGTCTCACTGGAGTGTCCCTATAAATATCCCTCTCGGCCATTTCTTCTTCCACCTTGCCAGCCTATACTTTTCCACAGTAAAATGCAATATTTATTTGCAATTGCTTTTTTTCAGCTGTTTTCCTTAAATGTGCTAATAATTTTCCAAATTGTTTTTAAACCGTGTTTTCCGCCATTACAGTGCAAAGCTGTGTCTAGCAGGACTACCAACTATCTAAAAATCTGTGGTATTTGATGTTCTCACAGTCGCTCACAGTGACAGTTGTGAGGAGTGCTCCCTATATATTGATATGTAAAATAGTGTGGTACATTGAAAGTAAATGGTTTGCGGCCTGTTTCATGCTGGTTTCTTTTTTGGCTTACTCTTGAACCATGGAGATGGAAGCGACATGTTCCTCCGAAACGTCGGTTGACTTTCGCCGGACTACACAGCATTATATGACAGAAGATAGAACACAGACATAAAAACGTGAACCAGCTGAAAATTTCCTGAAAACTCTGCTACAAAGTAGTTACGGAAGTAACTAATTCAAATCTTGAATGAGGACGTATTTTCCCTGGAGGCTTCCTTAGTCCCTTAAGTGAATGCAAACGATATTCATATGGTATTCTTTGGATTTAAATTATTCTATAACTCCTTAAACCACCATGGTTGCTCAATGAACCACCAATTTTTACACTTATGTACTGGGGGTGTAGTTGAGAGATACTATTACCCAGGTTCTGGCCTGAGACAGATGCATATTTGCTCATAAAAATACATTAATTAGGATAATGTCATACATATCTGCCCTCTTACATATTGCATTTAACACTACAGTTCGGACATGCGAGATATACCAGTATAAATGGATGTTTTGCACATGTATATGCGCATTCTCTGATATGTCTAGTTTCAGTGTGTACATACATATATACTGGTAAATCCAGTTTTGACAAAAACCGTGCTGATTATATGTATAAAGTAGAATTAATGTATGACGTAAGTATAATGGCTTTTTACAAATCTGAAATATTGAGCCTTATATGGTACTGAAGTCATATTTATTATTTGTGTGCTCTAGAAAGGTCCATTAAACATGTAAAATGAAAACTATGTAAATATTTGAATTAATTTAACAAAATTGCAAGTCCTTAATTCTCACACTTCTAAGGCATTACCAGTCCAAATGTCATTCAGTTTCAGGCTCCTGTCAACCTGATGGTTACATATCCTTGTTACATGGATGACACATTTACTATACATTCCTAGCACACATATTGTCTGCATATATCAGTACGTACTTTTCCTTATCTTTTGAATCAATATATAATTTTCTTTTTGTGGAGTATTTAACAATGCCTTTAGTATTGAAACTTTACAGTGATGGATAGTAGGATGATAGATGAACTGGAAAGGATTTGGAAAGTAGAGGTTGTGTTCTGATTGAGGTACTATCCTAGCATTTGCCTGAAGGGGTGGGAAAACCCACAAAAAACCTGTCATCTAGCCAATATCCTCAAATCTTACATAGCCAATATCCTGTCTGAGAACTGACCACCTCCTGAATATGAGTCTACAACATTACCTTTAGACCAGCCTCTTTGGTGGATTAATATGCAACATATTTTGCTTTTCAGAAGTTATTCGTCCACTTGAAGTTCTTCCATTCCAAGAATGTCTCTAATGCAAGATGAAGCACTTATGAGCCCACACTTTTCTGCTATGATATCCATGTGTAATGTCAGTATTTATTTTCCAATTGCCTTTTGAATTAAAGTCTGGGAACATGTGAATTGTTCTTCTGTGAGTTATATACAATAAATGCTGTTTAACCTTTAAGTGCCGAAGTGCCCAGTTTGTGCCAGTCATGAGTAAGGTCGTCGTGGCCAAAGTACCCCGTTTTGTCCAGTCAGGCATTTAAACTCCGCTAGTGGAAGCGCATGCACATTCCTAAATATTTATTTTCAAATGTAGTAATTACCAGACAGACTTGAGTAAAACCCTAATAGAGGAATTAAAATAATACCTAACTGAACAACAGCAAATAAAAATATACGTATGAGTTATGCCAAAACTTGTCCACGATCCAGTAATTTTATTGCAGATTCTGCAGATAGGTATGTTAAAAATATATTGTAAAATTTGATGTACATAGCTTTTTTGTTGTTACCTGCTTGATGTATATACAGTTTCAAATAAAACTACCGTATTCAATTTCACTACGAACGCAGACAAAACAGATCGCGCTCTGTATCTCAGCCACGATGCAGCTGTCTGTTCATTCAAATAGAAGGGACAATAAGCTTTTGCAGATCTAACGGAAGGTTTTAGCACTGAAGAAGGGACCCCTCTAGCTTTCTCTTGAATAGCCATTCTTTCATTCTTCTGACCTTCAGTCAAAGATTCGAAAATCCGAAGGGTGTAAGCAGTGCTAGCAGAAGACCAAATGATTTTATTGCTTCCATCTGTTTTATGACACCAGGGACTGCTAAAATTTGTCAAGTGTTACAAACAGAAATGAATTTATAATGCAGAACAACTCTGTGAAGAACTGGGAAACAATATTTGCAGTACGCATCAAAATTAAAACACAAAAAATTGAAAATAGAGTATAACACTTTGTATTAAAAATTTCAAATCTTCCGTTATAATATGCGACACTATGTTCTTTGCTGATATAAACAAAGTTAATACCATCCATTTATCATAAAAATTGTGCTAGATACAGCATTTTTAAACACAACGCTTAAAATTGATTAACCGCCTAACAGGAACGGACATTTAAACGCAAGGGAGCAACGGGCATTTAAAGGAGCACCAGCAGAGGGCATTTAAATAAGCTCCGGCCAGCTCAAGTTTACCACTATTTCGAAGTCTGGCGTTTAAAGGTTAATTGTAGATCAAGTGAGAAATTCTTTTGGCCACCATCAGAACTGCTGACAGCAGCATAATTTGACTGGACAAAACTATCAGAACTAAGAGTCTGACTTCACCTTCAATTTCACTTTGTTCATCATCACTATCACCTACTTTGGAAACTGAGCCAAGACTGCCTTACAGAAGTATCAGCTGATCTGACAATGAAGTACAATCTGAAGAGTTCAGTCTTCTACAATATAATGCCACATAGTCTTGTGACAGTCGTCCATCAACTTGTAGAAAAATATCACCATCTTCAGGGTGGAAGGGTAAGCAAGCAAGCAAGAAAACAAGAAAAGTGGGCAGTAAGCAGAGCTCTGCTTCCTACCTGTCTCACAATGGTTTGTTTCTTGGCCATTCTGCTGCAATCACTATGAAACAAGGACTCTTTAAGTGTCCAAATTAAAACTGTTTACCTGAATAGTCTGTCCACCATGAAGATGGTTAAGGTCTTCACAGCAGTGGTTAGTGAGTTGTCTGATGAGGTTGCCCATCTAAAAAATGACAACACCATGTTAAAAGTACAAATCAAGGGCTTACAGTGTCATTTTGATACCTCCCTTCACAATTCAAAAATAAGGAACAATCTCCTGTGGGGCCATAAGTCTTCCTAGACGGTTGCTAAGCCATACAAAGATGTGGCCAGTAATCCTCCTATGTCTTCAGCCACAGCTTATAAAGCAAATGGAACAAACTTAACTTTTATTTCATATAGATATGGAACCGAGGAAAACAGACTACTGGGTGCTTGAGGCCAGAGAGGATCAAAAAGTTGTCTGATACATGACTGCTAAATGTTGATATTTCATATAGTGTTGATTGTCCATTATGTAGAATTATGTCATAACAATTTGAAATTCTGAATGGTGGTAACAAAAAATATTACAAGAAACCCTATAAGGTTCAAAAGTATCTGGGTTTGAATGCAGAATAACTGTCGAGTCTGAATTCTAGCCATGTTCTCTGAATGGCTTGCTTTAGGGAACTCGTGAAATAAAATATATACACGAAGTTAACGATTATTGAAATTTGTCTGCTATTTCAATAATGCAAATATGCCAGTACTAGCAAATACCCTAATCAGCCATCAGATGATGACCCAAAATCCTCATTAAATATCAAGGCCCTTAATGATGTATACATCTGTTGATATTCCCATTGATGACATGCCACTTAAAAAAGAGATTTGAAAGGGACATCAGGACAGTTATTGAAAATAGAGCAGTGATGGAATGCTGACAGATTCTCTATTTGAAACTCCAAAATGTGAAAGGGCTTATGGTTCTCTTTTGTATGCCTGTCTGTCCATCATCAGCATATTACAGGAGGAAGGAGGTATGGTAATTTCTGTAAAAGTAAAGCAACAGAATTGATTCTTTGTGGTCTTTTAAGTATACTCAGAGACATAAAAAACTGAAATGTTTGAAATCAGAGCACCAAATAAGAACAGGAGGCAGCTACTACAGAGTTAAAGATGGTTCGGATGTAATATGAAGCTGACTACTAACATTCATTCTGTTTAAAGTTTAAGAATGTAATGAGCTTTACCTCAAATATTCTCTGTATACCTTCAAATTCTGTATTTTTCAATCAACCATACCACCTTTCAGATAAACAATTTGGTCTTAAAATCAAGAATTTTCATGGGTGTTCTCAGTGAACTCACAGGTATCAAACATGCTCTTCCTTTGTGGGAGAGGAAGTACACACAATAGTAGGGTAAATTGTTGGAGGGGAAGGTAACAGATATCATCCTTTACTGAAATTAAGCAATGGATAACATAAGAATATACACTCTCATATAAATCAATTTTGTATATACATTCACCTTGTCATTTTTCCTTTAATCATCTATCACCACATCCTAAGAATCAGATGGGTAAATTAGCAGACCTGCCACTTTTAGTTTAGCCCCCTCCCCCACTCAGTGCAGATTCGTTCATTATGTTTTTGCGGATGTTAAAAACATTTTGTAAATTATGCACGGGAAATGAGACTCCTAGGGCATTCATTTAAGCACTGCTTATACAAAATAATTTTTCCTATGTTCATTTCCATCATGTAAGACATGACACATCAGATTCCTATTGGGATAACAAGCCTTTCATTTCATAAAATGAATTTCTAATCAGGTCCTGCTATAGTGTATATATGCAAGGTTTGAACTGACATCAATTTCTTGTTAGATGTCAGTTACTGATGGTGAAAGTGCATATATGCAAGGTTTGAAGTGACATCAGTTCATTTTTTTGGAAGATGTCAGTTACTGATGGTGAAAAGTTCAGCTATGGACTACTTTTAAGTAATCCCTTGTTCAAACATTTATATTCTGTAATTGTTAATAAAATAAATGGCAGGGGTTTTAAATTCCACTACATGAAATTCACAAGAAACTGTTTTATTTATTGATTATTATTTTTGCTACTGTGTAGTAAATAATGTGACCATTTTCTTTCGGTTATGGACATAAGTGCATATATTTTCATTACGTGTATATTAATTTCTTTAGTTATATAAAGTTTTGCTAAAATATTCACAAAGTAATAACATGTCAACCTTATAAATTCTTTCATATGACAGTCATTTAATATTAATTTCAAAAATTGAGATAGATAGTGTCCAGTGATTAAAGTAATGTGATATTTCTAGAGGAAGTCAAGACACAGTGGTATGGATTTCTAATATGGGTGACAGTTTCTTGAGTATGTCAGGATAAACACCAAACTGGCTAAAATAGAATACAAAACAAATTATGGTAATTTCAATATAACAAAGGCAAAGAAAGCTTTAATTAAAAATTCTCCAGTGCTAAAATAAAAGTCTGTGAAGATAGGTTAAGACATCAGTTGCAGTTGGAGATATAGTCATGCTTGGATAACATATCACTTTTCAGAAGCATCATGAAATGTGTAATTGTGTGTCTGCTGACATTGGTTCCACTTGTGTTGGCTGGCAGTGCATTATCAAGTGACAAACAGCTTATGTTTCTTCAAGCCTTTTGCCACCAGCAGCTATGCAGCAGTATGATACTTTTTGACATTACAGGTTTGTAATATTGCTATTCTTCAGGGCTGTATTTACAGGGGGATAATGGACTGAAATCCTCCCTGAAATGTTGGGGATAATGTTATAACAAAATGTTGATAGAGATAAAACGTATAGCGATAAAGTTACCAAAATATACACATTACAAAACACAAATTACTTTTGATGCATACATTAAGATACAATTTCCATTGACAGATTTTTCAAAACAAACTCCCTTTTGAAGTTCACGCTTATGGCTTATTCTTACCTATCTTCATCTGTGAAACATACATACACTTCAAGTGTTACAGTGGTTTATGGTCCTTTTACCCTCTTAAAGCGTTATGGTAAGTACTATCTGTTTTAACACTGAAGAGCTCTGCATTTTGCCAACACAGTGCATTTATGTGTTTCATATAATTCTCAGAATAAATAGAGATCATTTCCTGTAACTGCACTAACCAGTCAGTCTTTGTAATGGAGATGCAGTATGATTCTTGTGATGTAGGAACTTGATCTTTAACTGTTATTTAGAAGACATACTTCAAAGGGGTAGAATCATGACACATGTAAGTACCGTCTCAGATACTAATGGAATGTGTCAGTAAACTACACAAGGAGAATAAGTTGAACTATGAAAAATTCCAATACACATTTAAAAAATTTTATGAGATAAATATGTGTGCCATGCATATTGGCATTGGTTTTCTGATACATCTGTTATGAGATTTGTGCAAATGGATAAGGGAGCATTGCTGTGAATCATGGAGAAGTAGAGGCAGTAGCTGTTACCTATTTTAAGTATTGTTCTGATGGGAATACTTACTAAATCAGCATAAAATCTTCACAGTACAAGGATAGGCAGCCTTAAATGACTTCTCTGTTCTCAGCTTCTTTCTTCTCCCATAGGTTGTTACCATTTTGCTTTCAGATACTTAAAATTTATGTTCAATTTGGAGTATGAGAAACTATGTCTCACAATAGTATAGGGAGCAAAATAGTTGCTATATGAATCCTTGTTTTTTTGGACAGTGCCTGAGAAAAGTAGCAATTTTTGGCATGAATAATAAAAAGAAACAGATTGGTTTTGCCATTTTTTGTTACAATATAATCAATGAGGAGCTGGCATAGCTCAGTGAATATAGTGATAGGCTACAGGCTGGATGGCCCAGGTTCAATTTCAGGCAATGATTTTTCTCTTCTCCACAGTGTCCAGACTGACTCTGGGGCCCACCCAGCCTCCTATCCAATGGGTACAAGGGGCTCTTCCCCTGAATGGTAAAGCAACAGGGGTGTGTTTCTAAGAACTCACCTCCAACTATTGCTGAGGTCAAGAAAAGTGGAGCCATACCTCCACTCTCCATATGTCTTCATGGCATAGTGCTTAATTAATGAAGCATAGGGACAACTTTACCTTTTTTAACCTTTACATATAATCAGTCACAAAAATCAGCATATATTTTACTAGTACATGCATGTATACAGAATTCATAGCTTTAGTTCAAACTAATTTGGAGATGTTTGGTGTGTGCATATTTGAATTCAAAAGTGTTACTTTGGCACTAAAGCAGATCTGCATAGGAACCAAATAATATGAAGACAGAAATCCTTATTGAGTCTTGTGTTCTGCAGATTGGTGGAATGTGTCACTGAAAGAATACCAGTTTGTCAAGTTCATGTCATTGATATATCTGCGAATTCTGGTCACCTCTACCCAGGTATGGACCTCTTGTCAGCCACTCCCAGACAGTGCTGGCAAGACTCCACTTCTTGTCCTGCGATACACTGCATCCGCACAGCATCAGAAATTCCTTAAACAGGTGCTCAATATTCTTTGTGCTAATGTTCTTAAGTGGGTTACAGAGATTTTTTGATGCTTATCTCTTCTCTTCCTCCTTGCATTTTGAAACATTGCTGACATTTTGCAATAGCTGCTCAGGAATATTTAATTTCTTAAATTTAATTAAATATAAGCTTGAAATTAATAATTCAAATTTTTAACAACACTTCAGGCAAGTTGGGTTCATAGGAGGAAAGAGAATGGTCAGTGGCATAGAACGTATAATGAAGAGCAACACTTCATTTTAAATAAATAAAAATTGTGAACACAAATAAAGCCGAGGTGCAGTGATTGCTCAGGAGTTCTCAGCGTTCATAGCCACTGTCATTCTCCTTCAAGATAACATCTCAGCAGCCAATAAAGCTCAAGCCCAAGAATAAGGACTAAATAACAAAGACTGGCTGCAAAAGCCTCACATTATTCATGGGTTTGAGGGTGGAAAGACTGTTGCCTTATTTGGGAACTTGTGTATATCGTGAGCAAGTAAAACACCCAAACAACATAGAAGAAAACTGTCTCAGCAAATTATGTCTGGGAATATGGATGTGGGGATGATATTGAACTTCACTCTTTTTCACTTTCACTCTGAAAAATTAAATATTATGGTACATATTTTCTTTAGAATTAGCTTTACTTATCAGTTACTTAAAGACACAGTATTGACTGCAAGGTATATATGGTGAATGGAAGGGATTGGGGAAAAAGTAATTTGGCCTACTTTCCAGAGTTGACATGTAATGACTAAGGAAATCCATGACACTTTCAATTGGGATATGTGGTCACATGTCTGATAGTTGAACTGGTTGTCTCCACAGACAAGGCATGTGTTACTGTATTACTTCAATCTGCTTATTTAAAACTCATGCTGGCTTCAGGCTGGATGTCCAAAACTCAGTTCTTGCAGCAGCAATGATCTTTCTCTTTGCCACAATATTCAGTCGAATACTGGGACCTGCCAACCCATCTGTGAGATGTTCCCGAGAATAAAGCAGTCAGAATATGATGCTGACAGTTTGACTCTTTCAAGTTCTGAGGTTAAGAATGTGTGGAAATTTACCTCCATGCTCCATATATGCTCATTTGGTATGGTGCTTAGGTGCAGGGACAACTTTACATTTTACTGCTATCATATATTATAGAATTGAATACAATCATAGTGCTTACATTCACCTTGCACACTGTATGGAACTACCTACATGAACATGAATGAAATTAAGAGTTCATGTGTGCAGAAGAGGAAGTATAAATGTCGTAAATTTAAGACTGTCTGTTTCTTTGAATAACTGTCTGAAATAAAATAAAAAACAACTGACAAATCAGTTCATAGAATTACAGTAGATTCTTTCATGTTCACAATCAAAATCTCTCCATATAATAACTGTCTCTCTGATTTAATGGAACTTTGGTAGATTTGGGAGCCAAGGGATTAGAATATCAACAATATGATGTTTTCCATCTCCCAAACAGGCGGTTCTAAACTAATCAAATTTATTTCCAGTGTTCTCTGGAAGGGCAGTTTAGCAGAAGGAATTTCTGGCTGTTCTTAACTTCCAGTTCACTTTCACCTCAGCTGTTGCACAATCTCACTCACCTCAACATCAGTCTTTACAGCAATGTCTTCATTGCAATTCATGACAAGGAAGAAAATATTCAGGTTTGAATGGTTTATTCACTCAAAAAAAAAAATCTTGTAGCATATATATGAGGTTGGAAAACTTGGGGGACTGTGTAATTTGAAAGATAATATTTAAATGGGCTTGATATATATTGTGACATGTTGCGAAATCTGAGCCCCCCCCCACACCAGCATTAGTTAAATCAGCACTTATTCCTAGCT